TGGTTAAGGATGGTAAGTTGGAAGCATTAGTTGTCGTATCACTGGATGGTGTACTACCGCATCAGGTAACCACCGAATGGGATCGTTTCTATCGCGTTTCCTGTGATGTATCCATGGATAAGATGATGCATGAAGGTTCAGTTGTTGTCACAACAATTTATGATGCAGGGTAAGTTATTCTCTATTGCTGAATTCAATTACACTAAATAGCAAAATTACCGCACCTTTTCTCTAATATCCATCAAATATCTGATAATATTTATCAATAATTTTACTACGCTTCAGATACTCATTTCCATTTAGCTACTATTTGCTTCAAAAGTCTGTTCTTTTTCCTATAGTAATATAGAAGATTCTTGAATTTTAGGGAAACGAACACACGTGTTCTTGCTGTAGGAACTCCACCACCGGTAACTGCAACCTTGTCCTTCCTTAATGCTGATGACGAACCCCTGGAAAAGGCTTCAATTGGTGATGCAATCCAAATGGTTGTCACATCGGAACAAGCTGGTCCTCACAATATGATGCTAACCGAATGCACAGCAACACGAGTTGGTGGCGAAGGTGATGCTGTGCCTTTTACTATCATCGAAAATGGGTTAGTACAACACCTATATGTTTTGTAATAGAAGCTAATGACTTTCCATTATTCTTTCCTGAATTATGATTTCGATGGTCCACAATTTCAGTTCATTTGAGAAATTTTAGAATATATGATGTGTGTAATATAAACTTTGCACTACAAGAGCAGTCACATTTTCATCTCATATTCTACGGTTCGCTGTTAAATTAGATTCATCTAATTTATGAAGAATTTCGGGAAGTTTACACTCAGAAAACGGCATTAAATTTAGTTGCCCGCGCTATCCAGCTTTGGTTGGTCCCGTTAGACAAGATTTTGAGAAAAATCGCCTTAAATGTGACATGAAAGCATTCCGACTGGATGGTTCCTACGACGTCCAAATTTTATGTCAAGTAATGTTTTGTGCTGGACCCAATGGATGCCCACCGGTAAGTTTCACTATTACTCTGTTATTGTCTTGAGAAATCAAAGACAATTTCGAAATCTAATATTTTTTGAAGATTCTGGAAACCGAAAAGAAAAGTTAATAGATGTAGATGATATCCTTAGATATTACGTCATTAAATTAAGAGGGTATGAAACTGAGAGGTGCAAAAAAATTCAGAGAAATTCCAGGTATAAGAAACAAAAGTCTACTAATTGTTTATATCTAGCCTTGACTTTGTAGAGCAACTGTTTGGATTCTGGAACGAATGAGCTCTTTGTATCTCATGGACGGCGGAAACGAAATGTTGATGATAATAATCAAACAGAAGGAACACTATCTGCAATAATACGAGTTCTCGCAAAAGGAGAAGACGATGAAATCTTTCAGAATGCTACCTTCTCCAATAAGTAAGCTTTTCAATCGGTTTTCAATAGGAAAACAGCAAACTTGATTAGTATTCAACCAAGTCTTTAAAACACAAATCATTTTTGCTATGAAGTAAGCTTGAGAGATCGCTTTAATTGCTACTCATCAAAATCAAAATATTTTAGCACTTTTTCGGAGGAATTCGATTTGGTTTGCATGTCTGAAATATGGTTCATCTCATCCGTCGTGTCCGTATCCGTGGTATGCTTGATTCTATCTGCATTTATTGTTGTCTGGGGTTGTAGCTCTTTGAAGAAGGAAAAACTGCCATTGTAATTATTTAAATTTTGTTTGTTACAGTAGCTCCAAAGAGCTTCATTTCAATTTAAACTTATATAAAAGATGAGAATAATTAGAAAATTCAAGATTTCTCGTTATCTCCCTGCTCAGTACCACCCTTCTGTTACTTTGAAAAGAAAAGTGTAGAGACTTCACGCAAGGATGCGGGAAAAAACGGAGTAAAAAGTAGTGCAATATGGTGGTAATATTACTAGCCGGTATAATGCAATGACACACAACTGTGATAAGTTGTTAAATGCACCTTTTTTATTAAGAAGGGTTGAATAAGTTCATACCTTTCTCTTCCTTGTAACGCATGCTTTTGTTTCTAGCAAGCTTATACAGTTCTTCAATAATTTCTAAATGTGCCACGCAGTTTGAAATGCTATTTACAATCGTTCATTGAGCTTTCATTTACTGTTTCATTCATTCCTATAGTTTCCCACCATTTTCCTGAAATTTCGGGAAATTGGTTGGATTGTTGTGTTCAAATTGGATTGTTGTGTTCTTCTCCTACAGCATGTTTTTCGGATTGTCATTTTGAACTGAAAGAAGCATAATGATATTTTTGGTGAAGCTATCAAAACTTCACATTAAAGAAATTGTTAATAATGCTCCCTTCTCTTGAAATTTCTGAAATTCAGTTAATTTCTGCACAACTTCTCCACCATTCGTATCAGGTCATATTTTGTGTAATCATACTCCGTTATTCTTTTTGTTGTATGGGAAAATAAACCATCTTGAAGGACTATTTCAAAACATTTGCTGTATTTTCCAGTAATGCGAGAAGTCATGGCGTTTAATCATATATCATCAATCAATTGTACAATCTAGCGCAAACATTATTTTATCCCAGGATCTTTTAGCCCCGCCAAGAGAGTATTTTTGAAGAAGTCTGAGATGACTGCGAGAAATGTTCCTGTGAAACGTCACCCTATATTCAGTGCTGATCCAAATTTTAGTTACAGCTTTGTCCGGAAACGAATTCCTCGTTTCATGTAACGTTGCATGGGAGTACTCTGCAACGATAAGTTGAAATGGACGTGACGGGAATCAGTTGTGCATTCCTAGCAAAATACACTGATGTG